CTCCTGCCTCAGCCTCCCAGGTAGCTGGGACCACAGGTGCCCACCACAACGCCTAGCTATTTTTTGGTTGCAGCCGACATTGTTGTTTGGTGGGCTTGGGCTGGATTCGAACCCGCCACCTTAGGTGTATGTGGCTGGCGCCTTAGCCACTTGAGCCACAGGCACCCAGCCAGATTCTTTATTTCAAATGGCCGTAACAAGTGGTACTTAAATATAGAATTCCAAATGACCAAGTTTAGAAAACTGAAAATACAGAATTCCAACTGATAAAGTTTAGAAAACTAAAAAGAGTGCAACCCAAGAATATTATCTTTCTGGACCACAGAATTTCACTGGATTATTAACCTTCTGGCCTGTAGTTCTCCTAACTGTAAACAGGCGCTGGGAGCATTATGTGCTTCCGTAAATTCTCTCCCTCAGTGGAGAGGTCCAAGAGCCTGCAAGGATCGAGGAGGATCGGTGGGGTAAGGAATGCTGAGATTTCCCTCCTTTTTTTTACCTCTTTGAGTATCTGTTTGACTTCTTCCCTTTCTCTCCCTCAGAGCAAAACAGAGAGCCCCCAGGGAGAGCAGATTATACCCTGGCTTTCAGGATGCTTAATTTGAAAGACTACCCACACCCAGTCTGAGCAGCAGTCCTGCTCCCTGAAGTCTGCGATGGGGCAAGTCTGGCCCTTGCTTTATCACCCTTGACCTCATTTTCCCTCTTGTTCTGCCTCCTTGCTGGGCAACACCCAGCCCTTTCCCTATGACCTGAGGTTGCAGAGGTGCCCAGGATGGGCAAGATTGAAGCCGAATGTCACCATCTACCCTCCATGCTGACTTAACGGTACCAGGACTTCACTCTTCAAGGCCAAGTTCTAAATGGATTAGGATTTCATTTGGGACAAATGATAAACTGCATATCCCAAGTCCTTCCTGTACCAACACTACACACGGACAGGGTGGCGACCTCTGTGGCCACCTGCCTATTCACCGTGCAGCTACGCTTGTCAGAAGATCTCCAACATGCTGCTTTGGCTCTGCTAGTCCCGAGGTGAGCTGGAAACAGGAGGGCGGAAGGAAAGCATGGCTATGCCCCCTGCCCAAAACACTGGCATGAAAGGAGCACAAAGCCTGAAACGCGAGGAGCCGCTCCATGAGAACAAGCACTGCTATCAGGGGCTGGTTAGGCGGACAATCTCACTTCTATTTTCCTTACACTTTTTGACTGTAGATTTAATTTAATTTTGTCATGGCAGGATTAGCAACCAGGCCACAGAGGTGAAGGGACATTATAATAAGACAGCACATTAATCCTCTATCCCACCCAAGGCAGAAGCAAAACCAAACAAATAGCAGCTTCCTGGAAATTGAATTTCTGTTATCCAGATGTCAAAGATGTAATACCCCAATTACACAAACTATTGCCAATGAAGCATGCCAGCAAATATGCCATGGAAATGGGGTGAGCGACAAAACTGCCCAGTCAGCACCTGGCTCTGTGAGCGAGCGATAATTAGCACTGTGTGTAGACACTAATAAACATTTATGTCTGAAATTACAACTTTTAGCAATGTTAATAAGGGATCTATTGGCAATCTGTAAAATAAAAAGTCTTGAAAAGAATGTCATACATTAAGCAACGGCAGACATTTCCCGTTCTTGCACCATCTCTTCCTTTTTTTTTTTCTTTTCCCTAATTGCAAATGGCCACGCTGTTCTATTGAGAAATTAATTGACATAGGAACCTACCTAAAAAAATGGGTTGTGTCTCTTTGGCCTCCCCATTAACCTCGCTGCTGAATTCTGAGACCTTATATACCTCATGGTGATAATCTGGCATGAGAAAACAGCAAAAAATTAGAATTCTAATGACCTCCGGGATAGGAATATGCAATAGACTAGAATCTCATTCTACATGATAGGTATTGTCTACAATTCATAAATTTACTTTTAGAGAACTCAGTTATCCATAGAATTTGCAGTCAACAATCCCTAAAACTTTTGCTTACTCTGAAGTACATACCAACTTGAAATATTACTTTGAGTTTAGAAATCGGCTTTGCTTTGGTCACATAGTCTTCACGGTAAATTGTACCGGCAGATACCAATTATTCAGCTTCCTTTCTTTGGGACGGCAAGTATAGTTTACGGGGGAAAAGAAAAATCTTGCCCAATCATGGACCAGAGGAGCTTTCCAAATTTGTTTCCACAACTCATTCTCATGAGCTTATCAAAAGTAAGCTTCAGAGTCACCAAGCACTTTAGTTATCTCAGTTTACCCAGAAAACGTTAGACTTTAAGCAGCTTAAAGACCAGCACACATGAAAAATACTGATTTTTTATTTCAAATATAGTATAATTTGGATAAGAAAGCAAGATTTCCATCTTTTGCACAAGTGACTCTTACATTCAGCAACTGCACCTCAATAAGCAACAGTTTATTTTCTAAAAATGCACCTGCAAAGCAGGAAGAAGAATCAGACCCATAATTTTTTCTTAAAAAACAAGAGAGAAAAGGGAAAACTGGCTATGCCAGTCAAAGTTTAAAATCCAATAGTTTTCAAGTTTCTCTATGGAAGCTACCAGGGTTTGACAATTTTCAATTTCTAAAAAGTAGGATCACTTAGGTAAAAAACAGAGGTTCCTTCTTAACAGCTATTCTCTTCTTTTGGCGTTAGACCTCAAGTTGTCGACAGGACTACTCTCACTTTTAAGATTAAGTAGTAAGTTCTCTGAGGTCATAAATAAGAAAGCAGCCTACAGTTCCTGAATGAATCAGATAGCACTGGCTCCACAGTCAACCAGGGAAGAGACTTTGAAAGTACAAATAACTGAGTAATCAACACAGATATGGGAAAAAGTTGACACAGAAAGAGGGAAAAGCCAAATTATCTTGAATACATAAAACTATTTCAGGCCTCTTTCATTAAACAGTATCCTAACTAAATCAGGGGAAGCAGGTAAGCATAGATCTTCAAAAAGTCCATCATCAAACCAGCAGACTACTGAACCTACATCCCAGTTTAGCTTAGCTTTGAAAAACTCAGTAACTTGCAATTCCCCTCCAATTTTCACCAGTTTACATGTGACTTCTGCAGGTCTTTGAAACAGCCCTGTTGTTCTCTATTCTGATTCCAATTGTAGATACTACAAGGGGAAAAGTGGACAGGTTCTGTGGTTTGGCTTTGACCTCGAGTTGACTCATCGACGACATTTAAACAGGGTGAGTCTAAACTCAACATTAGGACTTGTGCCATCACCATGAAAAAAGTCACCTGCCCCTAATTTAATGTGACACAATGCATTTTGACATTTGCACGACTGCTCTTACTACCTTGAGTTCTCATCGTTTTTTAAAAAGTCAAACCAGGAGGATAAAGAACCAGTAACTGAACACGGACCAGAAAGACGGTATTCAACTTTCCCCTCCCCTGACAAAATAAAAGCTCAAAGAGTGTGGTATACACCTGTTAAATCATCAGGAACTAGCTAGATTTTTTTTTTAATGGCACTTACCTGACTGCTGTGTGATCTAGCCTAAAATACCTTTCTAACCCAAACCACCTAGCTAGAGAAAAGCTGCTGGATATCAACAATCCTGCTTTAGGCTTGGACACCTATTGAGCTTCTTTCTCCTTCTTAAAAAGAACAACCACGATTACCTTTTTTTCCTCTTCTCTTTGAGGGGGGCGGGGGATCCCAAAACACAACAAAAACAACAAATCACCGGTGCGATGGTCCACGCTCGGCCTGACGGCCAGGCGGTGCGCGGCCACCCCAGCCCGGCCCGGTGGCACCCCGAGGAGGGCTCGAGCCCCCCGCTGTCATTGTTTGCTAATTTCCTGACATGCCCTCCGACTTGTTTACGTTAAATAACAGCCTGCCTCCCCCCGTACAACTTTCCCCGCCGCCCGGCGTGCGCGGCCGCCGGCCTCCCCGCCCGCCCGCCGCGGGCACCGGGGCTCCGACAGGGCGCGCCCCCGGCGTGGCCCCCCGCGGGCGGCCGAGGGCGCGGCGCCGGGTCCTTCCTCCCGCCGCCCCCGCTGGCCGCTTACCTCGGCTCACCAGTTTGAAGCTCTGGGATTTCCTGCTTCTTTTCCTCTCGGAGAACTCCATGGTGCGGGAAGGAGGCGG